GAAATGTTTACATTGCAATCATGTGTGTGTGTATGTGTATTGCTTTGTGTAATTTATTACATATACCTATATGAGTATGTATATGTGCATAAGTATATATGTATACATAAATATATAATATGTATATATACCCAAAGCAGAAATTCAAGAAAAACTCCTAAACTTATGATGTATAGTACACTCTATGTTTTCTTCTATTTCTGCAAAAAAATGTTGCTTGTAATCCACTAAAATCGATTTTAGAACTAACACCAGCTGTACCAGCTCTTCTCAATCTTTCTGGTCTCAATACTCCTTTACGCTCTTAATATTTTTTAAGTAAATGAAAGAGGTTTTGTTCATGTAGATTCTATTGATATTTACTGCATTCAAAATGAAAAATGGGAATATTTTTAAATGCAAACATTTATAAACTCTTTCCATATACCTGACTGATCAATTCTATCATTGTGCATTGTTTAGACTCTGGAAAACTCCACTGTACATTTATGGAGAAATGAGAGTGAAACAGGTAAATGATGTCTTAGTATTGCAATGAAAATGATTTTGATCCTGTGAACCCTCTGAAAGAGTCTCAGGGACACCAGTGTGCCTCGACCACAATTTGAGAACTTTTGCACTAGGAAGTTATGACGAGACTTTGAAAAACACCAATCTAGAAAAAGCCCAAACTGATTACAGAAAAACTGAATGAAGTAAATCCAATTAGCTAAATTTCCTTTCCCTATGTGTTTTCCTTTTGTTCTTCCTGAGTCAGAAGGCTATTATGATTAATTCCACAATGATTTCATATAAGATAATTAGTCTAAGCCAAACTATGCATGAAATTTCCCTAGCAACTGGACCAGGGGCAGTCATATCTCCTAAGTGGACTCCATCAGACTGAAAAGGATTTAAATTCCATGGCTGGGGAGAGGTTTTCTCTCTCTGGGTGTTAACTAGAGATGATACTGGCAACACAGTGTTTGCAAAGCTATTGCAAATGGAGTGTGAAGAAAAAAAAAAAAAAAAAAACCCTAGGTGCTTGATGACATTTATCTAATTATACTATGCCTGAGTCATCTGTTACCTCCAAGAAGGCATTGAAGACTTGTGAGAAAACACATTTCCTTATTGTTAAAAGTTGGGGATTTCTGCTTCTTGTAGTAAAAGGCTTTCAATACACTGAGAGAAACCCTATGAAATATTCCATCCTGATTTTTGCTGGGTTACAGAGTATTTTGAAGGACAAGTTGTGTATGACTCTACCTAGCACAGAACCAGCAAGTTGGTAGTTGGGGTAATTAATGAGAGATTTGCTACAGGAAGTTGTATCTCAGAGAATAGGTGCTAGGATTTCAAAAAGAGGCTACCCTTTCCCTATGAGTACTCTCTCATTTCCACCTTTGTGGCTACAGAAACTATACCTTATTAAGGCAGGCCCTCATTTCTTTATAGCCTTCCACTCACTCACTTTACAAAGACCTATGCCTACAACTCTGCTCAGATGTTGCTTCTTTACACCCATCATAGCCTCAAGCACAATACAGTTTAAGTACCTATCTCCCCAGTTAGACTGAGTTCATGAGGGCAGATTTGTTTTATTCATCTGTGTAGCCTTAGGACTTTCCATTGACTGATACGAAATAGGTTCACAACAATTTTTTTTTTGAAAAAACAAATGAATGGTAATGAAATATGCTTTTGTAATGCCGGGGTCAGCAAACTACAGCCTGTGGACCAAATCTGGTATGGTTCATGAGCTAAGAATGGTATTTTTAAATGGCTGAAAGAAGTCAAAAGAATACTATTTTGTAATACACGAAAATTATATGAAATTCAAATTTCATTGTCTATAAAGTTTTATTGGAACATATCCACACTCATTCATTTCCATATTGTCTGTGTCTGCCTTCACACTGCAACAGCAGAGTTGAGTAACTGATGAAGACCATCTGGCTCACAAAGATTAAAATATTTAATGGCTCTTTACAAAAGGTTTGCCAAGCCCTGTTGTAATATCTCTTTTTTTCTTTCGATTAAGGTATGGCCTTTAGTCTCACTTTTTAAATTAAATCTTTGTTTACCTTAGTCACATTGCCAAATAACACATACAAGGTAAAGATGCATTTGACAATGCTTTGATAATACTTAATACATGAGGAGTAAGGAACACTCATTGTAAATAGAGATAAAATATCCACTATGAAATATGAATTACACAAATAAGGTTCACTAATGAAATAAATATTCTAATTGTCTAGCATCACTATTGCTTAATTGTGCAAACATCTGATTTGTTGTCAATATTCAGTATTTTTTAAACTGACAAATGCCCAACACATTACCTAACTGTTAAACTTCACTTATTACACATGACAAAATCTTATCCTAAATATTGCATTGATGCATTTTGTATCAAAGTTAATGCATTGGTATATTACAATATATTTTATATCAGGAAATGATGTATTGATATATCAGGACATACCTATGCAGTATATACAAAAATCATGCTGATTTTTAAATAATTGTGTATAAACAATATACTCATAATTAGCAATAGTTATCTTGATATGGGGGAGATGATGGATGACTTTTTTCTTCTTATACTTTTCAATTTTTCTATATTTTGCATTTTTATAATTACCAGAAATTTTAAACACTGAATTATTTGACCAATTTAAAATTTCCTTAATCTGTAAGAACTTGCTTTGCATTTACTTTTCTTCCTGCCTACTCACAAAGCTATTTGATGTGCAAAGGACTAAACCTGTGGTTTTGTGGCTTGAAAATGAAAAACACAATGAAAGGCATGGGAGCTAAGAATAAAATTAGAGGCACAGCCAACTCTCTGCTCAAGAATGTTTGCTTACTATTCTTGTGGGAGAAAAACATGCAAAGGCCCTTGAAATGAGAAAATAAAAGGTCACATGGTGAAACTAATTAAATAAGACACTACTTAATTGCTCTGTGGTGCACCCTGTCATGGGCTAATATGGAATTATTTTAGCAACTCCCAAAGAAATATTACATATATTTGTCTGTATGTATATTTTAGTACCTAAAATAATTTTAGAAAAGAAAGAGTTTCAGGTCATAATTTCACACTTCAGGGAAAATACTGATTATAAGATGAATTTTCTAAAAATTATAGAAATAGGCAAATTCTTTCTTCTTTCATAGTCCAGTAACCTTGACCAAGAAAGGAAATCACAAACCTTTTGAGATTTAAAGAATTCTATAATTCCTCTTTAAAGTAGGCCAAGAATTTAAGAAGAACAAATGTGAGAAATGCTTATAAAGCCAACTAATATCTGGCAAGTATTTTTTCACAAAGAAAAATAGTTAATTCACTGTAAAGAAAAATGTGTAATAATTTTCCAGCTGTTAGAATTGTTTAATAATAGCACCTACAGTAAAGTGTGAAATTAATTGCTATTCTAAATAACATACATAGATGCAGAAAAGCTGTTGTCAAACAGAAGTGGGTATGTATGTTTTGTCTTATTCCCTGTGGCAGACTGCTAGAAAATCACCAGCCCCATTCCTTCTTCTTTCTGGGAACGCAGCTATCTGATGTTTTCCAGTTCCCTTTGTGTTTATATACAGCCACAGAACTGACTTCTGGCCACTAGAATGTGGGTACAGGTGATGTGGGTAGAGATAATGTATGCCTCTTTCAAGCCTGACCAATATAGCCCTTCCAGCTACAATCCTCCAGTTTTCTTCCTCTGACTGAATGCGGAGTACTCTGAGAACCTAAAAGGGAGAGGCCACAAGATGGAAAGAATCTTTGCTGTTTGAAGAAGAACCACTTGTTCAGGCATGCCCACATTGGATTATTTCAGAATTATCAGTCTGTCTTATATACATACTCCTTGTATTAGTCCATTTTCATACTGCTATGAAGAGATATCCAAGACTGGGTAATTTACAAAGAAAAAAGAGATTTCATGGACTCACAGTTCCACATGGCTGGGGAGACCTTACAATCATGACGGTGATTCAGAAGGTGAAGGAGGAACAAAGGCACGTCTCACATGGTGACAGGCAAGAGAGCGTTTGCAGAGGAACTGCCCTTTATAAAACCATCAGAGCTCATGTGACTTATTCACTACCACGAGAACAGCAGGGGAAAACACCCCGCCCCCACCCCCGCCCCGTGATTCAATCACCGCCCAACGAGTCCCTATGGGAGCTAATTTCAAGATGAGAATTGGGTGAGGACACAGCCAAACCAAATAATGCCTCCATTTTTAGGCAGGTGTTAACAATGTGCAAATGGCTGAATCCACTCTGCCTATAAGCAGAGAACTGATACCATTAGACCAGTTGTTCCGACTTAAGAATAATCATGCTCAAGAGGGTTTTTCAAATTCATACCAAGCTTTCCCTAATATTCAAATATACTGCTACTAAGGAAAATGTTTTCTTAATTATTTATCTCAAGATAGAGGCATTGATATTTGCACTGCTAATCACCCACTGGTAAAGAAATTTGAAGACTCTCTAGTTGTATTTTAATAGCCCTAAATTTTTGGCTCAGATTGATCATCTGCAGATAAATGGAAAAGATCACAATATGATGCTAACACAGTTCTCAAATAATCTTTTACAAAAACATTTTTCCTTTGGAATCCTAGGTCAAGACAAATCTCTGAGGTAATTTTCCACAATCCCTTCTTTCAACCAAGATGAATCTTCTTGAAGATCAGGGAGACTAAACTCAGAATTGTAACTGCTCTTTCGGTTTAGACATGGCTGGAAGTTCTTCTTCTGTGGTAAAGAGCCAGTTACCATCTTCCATAATCTAATTCCCCAAACACAACCAGCAATAAATTTTGATGAATATGGTTAGATTTGGTCAAATTTTTTTTTCTTTGAATAAATTGCATATTCACTCATCCATGCTGTTCAGAGCTGTAAATTCTGATCACTTTAACATTGCCATACAAATATATAGATATTTAACCAAAGGAAGTCAAGTCAGACAATAATGGGATGTCTCAGACCAAAATGACATTAAATGTTTTTTATTGAACAAAAAAAGATAAAACATGGAAGTTGAATTTATTGAGCAAAAGCAGCTCTCCAGGTGAAGCTGCTATACTTTGTGCTAAATAACCTTATGAACTGAGTATACAGAATACATATAATATGCAAGTTACCACAACAGCAAAGGAGAAGGAGTAGAATATGGTGTTTGAAGATAAAATCTGGTCAAGTGACAAATTTTGTTGCTCCAAATTTCTAGCCCTTATCCACCTAAATTCTGTATGGTTCTACATATATGCATTCAATATGTGCATACTGAATTCCCATTTTAATGGAAGCTGCTTTTTGGAAGAATTCTTTTTAATTTCACATTTATTTGATGTGCCACTCAATTTTTTAAAAAATTATATTTGACATATGTGTGTGTGTATATAAATATACACTTGAAAAACTCCAAACCCTTGTAAGTAGAGGGTTCATGATGCTTTTTAAATTCATATTGGTGAATTTAAGCTATTTCTCCTGTGTGTCTAAGAAACTTTGTGTTCTCAATGCACCCACACAGTCAGGTGGGTTGACAGATATGTCAAAAATACTTTATGAAAAGAGGGAGGTAGCTCATGCGAGTTGGCAACCTTTTGTGTATTGTTTCCTGTTCAAGCAGGCTGCCTCCCTTTGACATCTTATGGTCAAAGATGAAAGGAAAACTTTTTACTTTGAAGCCTAGTGAACACAGTTGTACATTTACTATAATCCAACTTCAACTTGGCTTATTGGGTTTACTAATGTAAGATGACAAATACCTTACACCCAATACACAGCATTTAAAGAGTACTGAAGAAACATTTTATAGATGATACTTTTTTCATATGTTAAACATCAGCTTCTATGGGATACATTTCCAGAATGGTTGCATTATCACTTTATAAACATTCTAGGCCAAACAAACAGCACAAATAACATCAATGTTGTCTTTTTTCCAATATGTGTATCAATTACTGGAGGCTAATCCTAACATATATACTACTTAAGGGGGGAAAAGAAGAGAATTTATGACACATTGCAAAGATAGAACTATAGCATCTTAGTTGTAGAGATGATCTTAAGGTGCAGAAAGAGGAGACTCTCTGGAAGGTGATGGTGTGGTTTCTTCTGGTGGGAAAACTGTGAGTGTGCAAGCACGAATGCCACCAAGGGATTCTGGGAGATCAAAAACCTTATGCCATTCATCTTTATCTGGATCGTATTTCTGCACTATCTCTACCATGCAACGATTATTCCAAGAATACCCCCCAACCACATAGATTTTATTTTCAAAGACAGCGACCCCAACATCACTCTGCCCTCTTAACATGGCAGCAATTGGGGTCCACTGGTCAAGGATAGGTGAATAGTATTCACAGCTTAGGACATCATCATAATCACTTGTTCCTCTGAAGTGATTGCCACCAATGACATAGAGCCTTTCTCCCACTGTACACATGCAATGTAGACCTCTAACAGTGGTCATTGGTGCCTTCTGGATCCATTTGTCAGTATCAGGGTCAAAGCACATGAGCTCCTTTTGGAAAGTATCATGAGTAATTCCTCCTAAAGAATGAAAACAATAGGTGTGAAGTAAATAAATTATTATAGAAATGCAAAAGTAAGTAAAGAAACTCTGTCATAGACAATTTCCAGCCACATATTATGACATACAGTTTGTCAATACTGTTCTTAGGACTGTCTTCCCTCTATAAATACATTCTCTGGATTAAAAATAAAGAAAATAACATTTTAATCTTTTTAAAGAACAAAACCATCACTTACATTATTGCAATGACTTTCTCAAATACCCATGGTATTTAAAAGGCTCTGCTGAAGGAAAATATATTTTGGTCACTGATAGAATTGGGTCTGTAGTAACTCCAACTACAAAGCATCATTCACTACTTACTGCCTTTTAGTGGGTACCCTCTGGGGTGCTGAGCACTGGGCTAGAGCACATTAAATTCCAGGTGCCCATTTCCTCACTTGTCAAAAAACAATATCTACTCTAGTTATTGCATTAGGACTGTGACTATGAAGTGAGATATTTATCAAAACGCTTTGAAAAAGTTGAAAGTCTTGTACAAGTGCAAAAGCTTATAAGAATATTCAGAATTGTTAATGTTTATAGAGGTTTTGGTGGGTGAAGTGAGGGTGGATATTGTTATCTGTTATCAGAACCCCTATTTAAAAATCTAAAGAATTAGCATGCTGGCCAGGCGCAGTGGCTCACGCCTGTAATCCCAACGCTTTGGGAGGCTGAGGTGGGTGAATCACGAGGTCAAGAGATCGACACCATCCTGGCCAACATGGTTAAACCCCTGTCTCTAATAAAAATACAAAAATTAGCTGGGTGTGGTGGAACGTGCCTGTGGTCCCAGCTACTTGGGAGACTGAGGCGGAAGAATTGCTTGAACCCAGGAGGCAGAGGTTGCAGTGAGCCGAGATTGCACCACTGCACTCCAGCCTGGCAACAGAACAAGACTCCATCTCAGAAAAAAAAAAAAGAATTAGAATGCTGAATATATGTAGAATTTTATACATGCAGCAATTTGTTGTTGGCCTAATTGAGTCTATACCATCTACAAAGTGTACTTAGATCACATATAAATCAGTCTCTATGATGAAAGTATCAAACTATACCTTCTGTAGACAAGGGAGAGAAGTAAGCCGATCTTTAGTCAAATTATTCAAAGCTTTACTGTCAAGTGGCCAGATGGCAATCACTGTTTTCTTCTGCTTTTAAAAAATATTTTCTCTGGGCTTTATACAATTCCCAGAAAGCAAAAGAGCATTAATTGTTTTGAAAATCAGCTACAGTTTCTAACTACTCTCGATCGGGAAGGTCATTCCATAATATATACCAGTTACGCCAAAGCACCACACAATTCAGGTATCATTTTTCTCAGAGGAGTTGGAGCTCTCATTATAATGGTACAGTCAGCTGCCCACATAACATAGACAAATGGTGAAAATCATTGATTAGTGGGAGCACATTTATTACCTGGATGGCTCTTCTAATATAAGACATCCCGTAGTTGCTCATGAATTTAACACCAGAAACCTGCCAATCATATACTACAGGCCTTTCATTGATCCTTACTGATTACAGATTTCATAAGGCAGTGGTCAATCAGGCCACAAATATCGCCTTAATACCTTTGGTCTTTAATAATGTAACTGCTAGCCTGGCATTGGCAGGCATTCAAATAGGGAAGAATTGTCCCAGGTAGAGTGTGTCAGGACCAAATGATAATAATCTGACTAACAAAGTCAAATGTCAGTAACAGAGGTGGTCATTACATTAAAGTGAGACTTCTTCCTAAATTCTACAGGAGAACAAAAGCAGAAAATGCGTTAAATAAAAGAAAGAAATTCTACAGTAGGTTGATTTAAACTCCAATAATTTGAGAATGAAAGTTGCTACTTGGATGCTGTGAATAAACTATAGGCATTTCAGAATTTTTTAACAGAAAAAATATATCTGCATGTGCATTAAATACAGATAATCAGCACAGAAATATTTATGCAATGACACCATAGTAGAATTCCCTTATAATGCTAAGGAAAAAGAAAACCCATATTATGGGCTATCCTGAAAGAGAGAATGAACATTATAATGCACTATTATGCATATTGGAAGCATGTTTTATGCATAGGAGACCTTATACGTTTTATAATGATACAGTCCCTCACACAGTTTAGCCAAACCTTAAATAAAATGAATTAATTGTTGCTACAGAAACTATGAACAGTGTTTATTTGAATACAGATCATGGGGACTGGAAAGCAAAATTTGAAAGCTTTCCAATTTCTTCTAAGTTATACCTTACAACAGGATTGGTTTACTATTATTCTTATAAATTTACAGAATGCCCAAGGCATTCATATGCAAATATACATACAAATACTTTCTAAAATCAACATAAATTATATTTTGGTAATCGCTTTTTCTGGATTTTTTTTTTCTGAGATGGAGTTTTGCTCTGTCACCCAGACTGGAGTACAGCGGGCGATGTCAGCTCACTACAACCTCCGCATTCTGGATTTAAGAGTTTCTCCTGCCTTAGCCTCCCAGTTAGGATTACAGACATGCACCACCACGCCCAGTTAATTCTTTTTTTTTTTTTTTTTTTTTTTTTTTTTTTTTTTTTTTTGAGGCAGAGTCTTGCTCTTTTGCCCAGGCTAGAGTGCAGTAGTGCAACCTTGGCTCACTGCAACCTCTGCCTTCAGGATTCAAGTGATTCTCCTGCCTCAGTCACCCAAGTAGCTAGGACTATAGGCGCACACCACCACGCCCAACTAGTTTCCTTGTATTTTTAGTAGAGATGGGTTTTCACCATGTTGGCCAGGATGGTCTTGATTTGTTGCCCTCGTGTTCCACCCGCCTCGGCCTCAAAAAGTGCTGGGATTACAAGCATGAGCCACTGCACCCAGCCTAATTTTTGTATTTTTAGTAGCGACAGGGTTTCACCCTGTTGGTCAGGCTGCTCTCAAACTCCTGATGCCTGAATTATTATTATTACTACCATTATATAGAAACATAACCACAAAGTTAAAAGCTTATATGTTATATTGTGTTCACATGATACTTGTTTACCTGAAATATACATCACTCCTCCATACACAGTTCCAGCATGGCCATAGTGGGGCTCACTCATTTTGGCAACATAGGTCCATTCATTTGTTCTTGGATTGTAGCATTCTACTGTAGCTGTTAAAAAGAAAAGGAAATGATTTTTAACTTCAGATTTAACAATTAATTATTTTTATCTTATGTGAAACAGTAATAATATCCAAACACTTGAAACATATCTATTATAGCTATGAGAGATACGTGAAAGACTTTTGGGGGAGCTCTTATAGTAATTATTGAGACTATAGTAATAAGATAAACCATTAGTACATGTTACATTAGAATAGTGTAAGAATCTAACACAATTCTGTCATTGCAGAAATCACTAAGATTTAATCTGTAATCTGCTTACATCTTTATAATTGGACATTTCTCTATTTTCTTTGCTCTAAAACAGGAAGAAAGGATGAAAAAAATCAAAAGGAACAAAAAGCTCCTCAATTCTGGTCCCATGTTGATGGAAACAAATGTTAATACATAAGAAGCAAACTTTTCATGGAGAATGAAAGTGTTCACACTACTTGGTTTATGTTCCAAAGCCCACTGCTTTAGTTCCTATACAGACTACAAAATGGACACTAATAATACTTTCTCTACATTTATACTTTAAAGCTAATAGTTTGTATATACCCACCGTCATTACAGCCAGTACTACTCCTTTTTTATTTTTATTGCACTTTAGATTCTGGTGTATTACTCTTAACCTGAAGGTGGTTGGCGGCATAATATAAAGTTAGTATCTTTATTAAGAATACTTCCTCTCAGTAATATATTTATCATCTTTAACATAATGTATTTTGGAGACGTGACCTCAACTCACTTAAGTAACTTTCAGTCAGTCTGTTATAACCTCAACAACAGAACAATGTCACAAAGAAAGATAGAAAATGTAATCACTTCATAAAAGGCAGAAAAGCTATTATGAGAACTCGTCAAAAGCACAAGGTCTAGATTGACTTGAAAAGTTCATATTATTTATCACAGACACTGACAACTGCTAATTCAATTTCTTGCATCCCCCAACCCTACTTTTTAAACTAAGAGAGCCACAACAACTGCTTAGGGAAACACTGCACCAAGCTAAAAATGAAATTTAATTCGCAGGTTCCCTTGAAGCTTTGGTCAACCATATGATATAGTTCTGCACAGTGATGAGTAGGTAAAAGTTTACTGACTGGGACTATTTGATGAAGCCACTGGAATTAGGCTTAGCTACTTGCAACCAAATGCAATCCTGATGAATCAATCTTTCAATAAGATTTTCCTCTTTAAAAAAAAAAAAATAGCATGGTCACAGACAAAACACACACACACACACACACACACACACACACACACACACTTTTCCAAAGAAAGAGAGAGACTACTTTTCCACTCTATTCAAAAATTTCATTTCATCAGCAAATTCACTATGCAAAGTATGCTTTTCTCCTCCAACCATGCCTATATCATGCTACTTCTTGTATCTCTCTACTGACTCCCTTTTCCACTTCTTTTAGCTTTGAATTTTCAGTCTTATTTCAAAAGCTTTTACTATTCTCATTTTTACCTACTGCTTTGTTGGCTTTGTTCATTGTTTTAGGCCTGTATCCTTGCCAATTCTATTTCTTTTAAACCCTGTTTCTAAAATTAATAACAAGTTAAACTGCCACATGCCCCAATACTGTTTTTTACTATTTCTAGTCACTGGATGCCTTTTCAAATGTTCATTTCCATTTGCCTTTGGCATGACTTTTACCTAACTGACAAGCAAAATCCTACATTATCATTATCTCTCCATGTATATTTATTATTTCTCTCTCTCTTGCTCATTCTCTCTCTCTCTCTCTCTCTCCCCCCCCCCCCCACATAACAGAAAACCTAGTGCATTGATTAGTACTTAGCACTAGCATAGTCATTAATGGGGCGGTTTCAGAAGTATCAGAAGTAATTGAACCATACATCCTATCTGAAACAGGGTCTAAAAAGACTTTGAGAGATCATCTTCTCCATCTACTTGAAGCCAAAGACAGGACTCACTATAGTTTTACCCTTTTCTTAATGCAGGACTCTGACTTAAACTTTGAAATTTTGGATTGTAACTATTGGTTCTTATGTTTAATTCAAACTGTTCTGATGTGATTTCCATTAGTTTCTTCTTATTATTTTTATACTGGAGTTAGAATTTGAATACTTATGTACTGTTATTATTAATCATATTTGTCTACATAGAAAGATAATTCCTCTGTCAGTGACTTAATTGCATTTTCCCCTAATAGTGGTTATAAGAATCCATCTATACTTTCTCATACAGGAGACCCTCAGTGTAAGATAGCCATTAACCACCAACAAAAAAATTACTATATAGTAGTTTGTCACCCCTAAACTTCTTTCCAGGTAAAAATCTATCTCCTTTAGCTGTTTCTGCCATTTAATTTTCATTGTCAACTTTTATTGTCATGCAGTTCTCCATGCAGAATTGCTATTGTTGTCAGTAAAATCAATAGTATTTTATTTTAAATTGGAATACATCTAATTAAAAAGTAGATACACATGCTCTTATTTCTATTTTCCGTATTTACAAGACACTCAGATATAGATGAGTACCAACAACTCTGATGGGAAGAGGGAGTAAGGGATGATGCAAGGCACAAAGCAGTGCTTCAATCACAGTCTGTGAGAGTTGGAAATGGTAAGGAGGCAACTGGAAAAATCTAGAGCAGATAGAAGCAAACCTCAGTCCATAGGCCAAATCCAGTCTACTTCCTGTTTTGTATTGCCCACAAAATAAAAATATGAATGATTTTATATTTTTTATACACTGAAAATGAATCAAAAGACTATTTTGTAACTTGAAAAAAATTCTATAAAGTTCAAATTTCAGTGTTCATAAATAAAGCTTTATTGGAGTACAGCCTCACTCATTTGTTTATGAATTATTTAGGGATGCATCTACACTGTAACAGCAGAGTTGATTTCTTATGACAGAGATTGAATGGCCCACAAAGCTGGAAAGAGACTACTTCTGACGCTTTACAGAAGTTTGCTGACCCCTAACCTAGAGAATTAACTTCAGTAGTCTAGTGGCCTAGTGTTTACATTAAAGAATCTCTCCAATTTAATAATTTTACTTAGGCTGGTTATCTCACATATATCAGGAGTTCTTATTTTCCAAGACAATTCCATAGGAATCCAGAATCAGTCCCAGAAGATGATACGGAATTTACTTTTTCTTTAAGATTAAGAAAGAGATTAGGCCTGAAGAAAATCATTTCAATAATGATGGCTCCCATAGATGGGAGATGAACTCTAGAAACATAGAGTGCTGGTGAGTGATCAAGAAACCCCCAAATCCTTTGGGGGGCATAGAGGCATTTAATAATTTTAGTAGTTTTATTGTATATTTACTTAAAAAACATCTAACATATTTTCTGTACGTTATTTCATTATTTGAAAGCTTGACTTATTAATATATAACTGACATGGAAGATACTGAAGCTGTCATATTCTTCTTCAATATACAAAACCTCAGTGGAAGATTGATTTCTTATATGACACAATTTTGAAAGATGCCAGAAATAACTGACTCCTTTTTCACTTAAGTGACAGCTACTCTAAGCTTCCCCTAGTTTCCCATTGTAACCAGCATCAAAGGAAAGCAGCATTTCGAAGGAATTATATTTCAGCACTAAACCAGATGAGCACAGGTGTGCTAGGCTAGTGCATGCATGTGCACACACACACACACACACACACACACACACATACACAGAGTCTTTTTTTGATGTACAATGGGCCTAGGTTTCCTTTGGTCCAACTACCCCATGAAAAGATTTTAAAAGGCCAAATATATTAACGTGATCTAAAGAGTCTTGCAAATGTTGCCACTGTTTTCTTTTTTTTAATTATTTTTAATTTTTGTGGGTACGTAGTAGGTGTATGTTTTTATGGGGTACACGAGATGTCGTGACGCAGGCATGGAATGTATAATAATCACATCATAGAAGATGGAGCATCCATCCTCTCAAGCATCTATCTTCTGTATTACAAATAATCCAATTATATATACTCTCAGTTATTTTAAAATGTACAATTAAATTATTATTGACCATAGTCACCTGTTGTGCTATCAAATACTAGGCCTTATTAATTCATTCTATTTTTTGTACCCACTAAATTTTTCTTTTTATAATTATATACAGGTAATGGTTACTCTATGAAATGATATACTGGTGCCAATCAACCTATTAAACTGTTAAATGACTTTCCCAACAATTGCCTTTTCCTGCCACCCATTGGCATCACCTTCTATTTACATAGCATATGCACATACCAACTTAATCAATTACAATGGGAATGTTGATTTATTATAACAGATGTTAGTATGTGCACTGAAGGGGGAATTCTATTTTAGAAAGCACTTGTAGGGCAGGGAAAATGTTAAAAACTCAGTTTCTGGCAGGAACATTCAGAAATATATGCAAGAGTTTCTTTAGAATCAGAATCTGCTATTCTGCAAAAACAATGGGTCCAAGAAAACGAAATGCCAACTAACACAAATTCACTTTTTAATTATATAAAGAGAAACATGATAAATGGATAGAAATCAGGAAATCTCATAAATGTTATTCTTTGGGAGAAATTCCATTTTTTTAAAAAAAGCAAATCTATAAGGTCGTGATAGATTTGTAATCTATAGATCATTTCAAATGGAATAAATTATCAAATAATTGGATGATAACTAGAATTCAGGTTCTTGGTATAGATGGTTTGTGCCTGTATTATAATCACATGTGTATTTTTTAAAATGCAGTTTATGAAAAAAGATTAAAATGGATCTATATTTACCATTAGAGGGGAATTTTTAAGTCATTATCCTTAGGTTAAGCTTTAGGGATTTTATTTTTAAAGCCTAAATATAAATTTAGGAATATCCCAAGAAAAGCATGATTCCCTTGTTTATTTTCCCTTTCAAAATGAAACACAGAAGACTATTTTTAATCAGAGATGGAGGGGTGGTTTCAGAAGGTCAGGAGCAAGGAAACCTGTATATGAGCCACTTGCCCAACAGAGTGGTCTATTTATAGTCCCTAGATGAGTATAACATAGGAGGAACTCAAAGAGGGTTGGGATAAGTTCAAAAAAAAACAAGCGTCTAGTGTCTTGGTTTTATGTAATGACTCTCCTTGGCCTGAAGATTAGAAACTCCCAGAAGAATAAGGCTTCTAATTAGTATTAGAAACTATATGTTGAATACTTAGTAGCTGAAGAGTATATTAACAGGGTTGATAATATCAACGAGCAAGGACTGACTTTGAAAACTGGAGCTATCTCCTTTGAGAAAAGAAGACTGCCCAGGTTGACGACCTATTATTTGGGAACTCTTGAAGATTATCTTATACAGGGATTTTCTAAAAAAAAAAAAAAAAAAACAAAAAAAAAAAACAAGTAACTACTTGCATCTTCTAGATATTACCATATACCACAAATTTAAAATGGTATAATAATGTGAAAATAATATGTGAGGGTTGACTGAGGAGGCCTAAAGGACAATCCTACGCTAAGGACACTTATGCCTCAAGTGCTTTTAAAAGTCCAATTATTAAAATATATTGGAAAACCTATGCAGCTCATGATCATGCAACATGGTCCAACAATCTAGAAAGTCTGATCTTAGAGAAAAATATCATTGTAATAACAAAGGAAAACACTTTGGGTTTAAAAGATCAGGAAAAAGACCATGTCACTAACAAGAAAGGGTTTTATAAACAGGGAAATGTAAGAGCTAAGAACAGTTATTCTTTTCCCTGATAAATAGCTTAGTCTCAAACACATTAAACTACCTTTTTTTCTTAGAATATTTTTTAAAAAAAGATTCTGAGAATTATTCTGAACTTATCCAAAGCCAGTGCCAATATTTTGAACTTTCTCAGCTCTATGGAGCCTGGAATTCTGGTCAACTACAAGGACTCTATTTACAATAGAGAATAAAAGAAGTGAAAACAAGGCCAAACAATAATGGTAATGACAGATATGTAAGTCACAACATAAAAGGTAGACTTCCTGGCTTTATTTTTGGAAAACTTATACTACCCAATTTTATCTAAAATAATAAAATTATACCTTTTAGGATTAATTTATATGGCCAAAGTACTTCTATATCAAAGTATGTTTATCACCAATCTTATACTGGGAAGACAAAAAAATGATCATCAACTAAAGCATACCAGATGGGTTTATGGTGAAGAAAACTATCTGATATTACATCAAGAGAATGATTTTTAAAACTAACAGTCATAAATCATAATATTCACAGTGAATAAACTTTGGATAATGTTGAACTTTGTACATTTAATCTACAAAGAAAATCTATGTGGCCTCTAATAGATAATAAATTCTGTAAAAGAAGAAACAATGAAAGTTGTCTGTAATGAAGGACTGTAACCTGTTCAGTAAAATATCATGTGGGCTTTTAAAAATAGAAAATGAGAAAACACAAGAAAAAGAAATAAAGGGTATCCAAATTGGAAAGGAGGAAATCAAATTGTCTCTATTTGCAGATGACATGATTGTATATCTGGAAGACCCCATCATCTCAGCCCAAAATCTCCTGAAACTGATAAACAACTTCAGTAAAGTCTCAGGATACAAAATCAACGTGCAAAAATCACAAGCATTCCTATACACCAGTAACAGACTTAAAGAGAGCCAAATCAAGAACGAACTGCCATTCACAATTGCTACAAAGAGAATAAAGTACCTAGGAATACAACTAACAAGGAACGTAAAGGACCTCTTCAAGGAGAACTACAAGCCATTGCTCAACGAAATAAGAGAGGATACAAACAGATGGAGAAACATTCCATGTTCATGGTTAGGAAGAATCAACATCGTGAAAATGGCCATACTGCCCAAAGTAATTTACAGATTCAACGCTATTCCCATCAAGCTACCAATGACCTTCTTCACAGAACTGGAAAAAAACACCTTAAACTTCATATGGAACCAAAAGAGAGCCCGCATAGCCAAGTCAATTCTAAGCAAAAAGAACAAAGCAGGAGGCATCACACTACCGGACTTCAAACTATACTACAAGGCTACAGTAATCAAAACAGCATGGTACTGGTACCAAAACAGAGATATAGACCAATGGAACAGAACAGAGGTCTCAGAGGAAATACAACATACCCACAACCATCTGATCTTCGACAAACCTGACAAAAACAAGCAATGGGGAAAGGATTCCCTGTTTAATAAATGGTGTTGGGAAAACTGGCTAGCCATGTGCAGAAAGCAGAAACAGGACCCCTTCCTGATACCTTACACCAAAATTAACTCCAGATGGATTAAAGACTTAAACATCAGACCTAATACCATAAAAACCTTAGAAGAAAATCTAGGCAAAACCATTCAGGACATAGGTGTAGGCAAGGACTTCATGACCAAAATGCCAAAAGCAATGGCAACAAAAGCCAAAATAGACAAATGGGACCTAATCAAACTCCACAGCTTCTGCACGGCAAAAGAAACAGTTAGTAGAGTAAATCCGCAACCAACAGAATGGGAAAAAATTTTTGCAGCCTACCCATCTGACAAGGGGCTGATATCCAGAATTTACAAAGAACTAAAGCAGATCTACAAGAAAAAAACAAAGAAGCTCATTCAAAAATGGGCAAAGGATATGAACAGATACTTTACAAAAGAAGACATACAGGAGGCCAACAAACATATGAAAAAATGCTCATCATCACTGGTCATCAGAGAAATGCAAATCAAAACCACATTGAGATACCATCTCACACCAATTAGAATGGCGATCATTAAAAAATCGGGAAACAACAGATGCTGGGGAGGATGTGGAGAAATAGGAACACTTTTACACTGTTGGTGGGAATGTAAATTAATTCAACCATTGTGGAAGACAGTGTGGCGATTCCTCAAGGACCTACAAATAGAAATCCCATTTGACCCAGCAATCCCATTACTGGGTATATATCCAAAGGATTATAAATCATTCTACTACAAGGACACGTGCACATGAATGTTCATTGCAGCACTGTTTACAATAGCAAAGACCTGGAACCAACCCAAATGCCCAACGATGATAGACTGGATAGGGAAAATGTGGTACATATACACCATGGAATATTACGCAGCCATCAAAAACGATGAGTTCACGTCCTTTGTAGGGACATGGATGAACCTGGAAACCATCATTCTCAGCAAACTGACACAAGAGCAGAAAATCAAACACCGTATATTCTCACTCATAGGTGGGTGTTGAACAATGAGAACACATGGACACAGGGAGGGGAGCACTACACACTGGGGTCCGTTGGGGGGAAATGGGGGAGGGGCGGGGGTGGGGAGGTGGGAAGAGATAGCATGGGGAGAAATGACAGATACAGGTGAGGTGACGGAAGGCAGCAAACCACACTGCCAAGTGTGTACCTATGCAACAATCTTGCATGTTCATCACATGTACCCCCAAACCTAAAATGCAATTAAAAAAAAAAAAGAACATGAGAAAACATGCCAAACTTCTATCCAAGACTTTATTATAATTTAAATTAGCTGAGTATACTTTTTAGATGAACCCTCAAGACGAAGACCATATACACTGCACAAGTAAAATACTCTATAATATATTCATGTATTTTTAAGATACAATTTGTTCCCTCACCAACAATATATATGCCCAGATAAGGCATAGAGGTGGTCTCCAATATTTTCTCAGAAAAGATACTTTTAAAATGAGACCCTAGCTACATTTTAATCTGATTTTTACAGGACTGCTTATTTTATGATTTAATAAGAATTTCTGGGTGAAAAAATTGGCTTCTATGTTTAATATAAATGCACACTTACGCAGTTCACCTGCTGCATTTCGCCCACCAACTGCATACAGATATCCTTTGAGGGCACTTAGGTGGAAGAAGGTGCGCTTTTCATTTAAAGATGCAACTTGCATCCATTTATTGTATCGAGGATCAAATCTGAAGACTGTATCAACTGCCGTTTTTCCTTTTGTGTCATAATTACTCTGTCCACCAACAACATAGAGAAAATTTCCAATGACAGCAATGCCATGCTGGTACCTTGGGGCATCCATAGGGGCTAACGATTTCCACTCATGGGCCTTTTCATCATACATACGCAATTCTTTACTGACAACCAGCTGCTGCCTCAGTACTCCTCCTAGTGTAACCAAGTGAGTGGTGTCAGACCTAATGGCAGTCCTGTCTGACTGCATAACTGGCTGCATATACGGCATCATTTGGTAATTGCTGGCTTCCAAAAGCAAATTCACACAAGTATTGTCAGTCCTCATGAAATCCACCGTTTGCACGTAATTAATGAGCTCCTGTGGTGTCATCAGTGGAAATCGTATGTTTTTCATTAATTTTGCAGCAAAGTCCATCCGAGGCTCTTCCAGACGAAGCCAACGACAGGTAGCCTTAAAGAGCTCAAGTTCAGTACAGTGCTTAAGGCTATTACTGGAAAGCACAAAGGCAAGACGCTCAAAAGGGAGTTTCAAGAACTCCCCTGTGCTCAGCAAAGCAGGAAAATTCTTCAGGACGAAACTGTTAATGTATTTATCCACTTCAGTCAGATTGTAGGTGTTGGCAATCCGTCCAACTTCAACACAATTGTCTAAAGTGACCTATTAAGCCAATTAAAAAAAATTAAAACATGACTACTTTCATGACACTCACATCTTGATAGCACAAACACCTGTTCTAGAATAAGAATAAATTACGTTTTTAATGTCCATATAGATACAAATAAGGATTCTTATCTAAATGTGTCAATGATCTACATACATATAATTTGCAAACCACCTTTACCCTAATCCAGTAGAAGGCTGACTAAAAGAAAATGACGAGGGAGGGAAGGGAGGTGTGCCAAGATGGCCGAGAGAAGCAAGCACTGGAATGCAGCTCCCCAGCGAGTGAGAAGCAGAGGGCTAGAGGACTTCACGATTCCAAACGAGGTGCCAGGTTCATTTCTGTGGGAATGATAGGGCACTGAAATTAGGCCCAAGGAAGGAGCTACAGGGCGAGAGCCACTCAAGGGGGCAAATCAAGATGGGAGGCGTATCCTCACCTAAAACGTGCAGCCAGCTGGGAGGGTTGGGGAACTTAACCCCCTCAGTGCTCCATTTCGGATCCTGTGCTTACCTCATCCCTTCTGCAACCCAGGTCGACTAGAGCCCTGCCAGACGGTGAGGCGCCATGGGTAGTCAACGCAAATCTGAGCAGCGGCTACCACCAGGTGAGGCAAGTTGTCACAGGGACCGGGGCAGGAGTTTGGACTAATGCCAGACGGGCTGACCATCCAACAGAGAGAAGCAGAGTTGAAAGCAGAGAAACAGACCATAAGGCCTGGCAGGCCCCGCCTCCACAGAACTCAAACTGAAGCCCTTGCTAGAGAGCTTGGCAGCAAATACACCACCTTGATCCCAACCAGGAAGATCCAGCTGGGAAAGGACAGATGCCATTGGGAAGATGGGGCCCATCTCACCTTCAAACAAACCCCAAGAAGGACCACCCACCCAGCAACCTGACTGAACCCAACAGAGCCCAGCCACGCCCTCTGCAGGCCAAAAAAGATATAGCTTCAACCTCAACAGGAAAAAACGTCCACTCAGAGACTTCTGAAATCACCAACTTCAAAGATTAAAGGGAGATAAATCCACGAAGATGGGGGGGAAAACGTGCAAAAAGGATGAATCCATCAAAGAACAGAACACCTCTTCTCCTCACAGGGATCACAACTCCTCACCATTAAGGGAACAAAAAAAGAGAATGAATCTGATGAACTGACAGAAGCAGGCTTCAGAAGGTAGGTAATAACACACTTCTCTGAGTTAAAACACCATATTCTAACCCAATGCAAAGAAACTAAGAACCTTGAAGAAATGTTAGACGAAATGCTAACTAAAATAACGAGCTTAGAGATGAACATAAACGACTTGATGGAGCTGAAAAACATAGCATGAGAACTTCGCAAGGCATACACAAGTTGCAACAGCCGAATTGAACAAGCAGACAAAAGGATCTCAGAGATAGAAGATCAAATCAATGAAATAAAATGAGAAGGCAAGATTAGAGAAAAAAGAACGAAGAAAAATGAACAAAGCCTCCAAGAACTACGGGATTATGTGAAAAGACCTAATCTACGTTTGATCGGCATACCTGAATGTGACAGGGAGAATGAATCCAGTTGGAAAACATTCTTCAAGATATTATCCAAGAGAACTTTCCCAACCTAACAAGGCAGGCCAACATTCAAATCCAGGAAATACAGAGAACACCACAAAGATATTCCTGAAGAAGAGCAACCCCAAGGCACATAGTTGTCATGTTCCCCAGGGTTGAAATGAAGGAAAAAATCCTAAGGGCAGCCAGAAAGAAAGATCGAGTCACCCACAAAGGAAAGACCATCAAACCCACAGCAGATCTTTCGGCAGAAACTCTGTAAGCTAGAATGGAGTGGGGGCCAATATTCAACATTCTTAAAGAAAAGAACTTTCAACCCAGAATTTCACATCCAGCCAAACTAAGCTTCATAAGTGAAGGAGAAACAAAACCTTTATGGACAAGCAATTGCTGAGAGATTTTGTCGCTACAAGACCTGCCTTACAGGAGCTACTGAAGGAAGTACTAAACAGGGAAAAGAACAACCAGTACGAGCCACTGCAAATATGTACCAAATGGTAAAGAATAATGACTCAATGAAGGAGCCACGTCAACTAATGGGCAAAACAACCAGCCAGTAGCAAAATGGCAGGATCAAATTCAAACATAACAATATTAACATTGAATGTAAATGGTCTAAATGCCCCAATCAAAAGACACAGACTGGCAAACTGGATAAAAAGTCAAGACCCATCAGTGTGCTGTATTCAGGAGACCCATCTCACATGCAAAGACTCACATAGATGAGTCTTACATTCCCTTGATATAAATTATTCTATTACAACCAAACAACCTTCATAGTCATCCTAAAGCCTCTTCCAACATCTTAACATTGCAAGTGGTGTTCTCATTAACATACTGGTCCTCATTGCTGCTGTACTATTCAGATTATATCTGATGTGCCAAAACACTGTTATCAACATAATTTGATATTTTAACGGAAGATTTAATCTGAAATGTAGGATTTTTTAAAGATCTGTGTTTTATACAAAGAAATTCTTATTTAGAAAAAAAATGGGTGTCTGCTTTTTTCTTTTTCTTTTCTTTTTTTTTTTTTTTTTTTTTTAAGGCTAGCCAACTGAAGCAGTAGGAGTGAAGAATGAACAAAGGAATCTTTAACTGGTTGTGATCAGTTAGGTGTAAACGTCACTGCACTCAGACCAGCCAGTATCTGCTTTTGTACTCTCAAGGGAAATGCAAAGACTAAGAAATCCGGCAAAAATTTAGGGAACTCCCTGGCCATTCAGTGTACCAAATTCTACTTGGTGCTATCAAGTTTATTAAAATGGCAGCCTGATATCTAGTAAAATCAATGCAGAGAATGAAATAAGGTCCACAGAATAAGACTGGGAAGAAATCAAACAAGCTACTTTATGGGGCAGAGGATGTACAAGTATCTTCTGTCAAGCCTCCTTCCACAGATGAGATGTTCAAAGGACACAAGAGACACTTTGGTAAGAACAAAGGGATAACTGATTAACAAACACCTCACCTCTTTCAGTCTTTGTCTTTCTTCAGTTTCTATATGCTATTTGAGGTGAATGCCACTGGTGTCTCCAGCCCAAAAAATCGAATTCTCTATTTCTTTGCATTTTGAATGCACTTTCTTTATTGAATGGAATTTTAGTCATTACAATGGCTCTTGTGAGGTTGAAGTGGTTTGAGCCCAGGCTAGGCCTCTTCTTCCCAGAGTCCCAGATGGCAGATGGGCAAGAATGGGTGCTCAAAGTTATAGGCGGGATATTTAGAATATTTAACAACCATACAACATGGGTATCAACCAAGCAGAGTGGATGACCAGTCATAAGCAACAGGTATGGCCATTAGGAAGTAAAGAGTGGTTTGGGGTGGGGGGGGGAAGAGTTTTGATTCACTTTGAATTACAATTATCTATACAATTCGTCTCTAATTTCCATTAAATTGCCCTCAAAGATGAAAAAATTATCTTAAAAATCATGTCTGTTAATCTTAATGGATAAATACAATTTGGATAAAATGAAGAATGTGAAATATATGTACTATACAGGAAATTCTGAGTAACTTAGTAATGGAAGCAAAGCAAAAGAGTCTTCTCCAATGACTTTTAATTCTTTTTGTTTTTCTTTTGAGAGAAACACATTCTCCCTATTCCTCTGTCTTTTGTCTCCTTCCCACTTATGTACCTGCTTTATTTTCTGTCTCCAACTCTTCATCACCTCCAGTCACCTCAATAAAATTTCTCTCTAATTCATTGTGAGCTCCCCACCCCATCACGGATAACAAATGTGCAGGTGGAATCATTAATATAACTGCATCAAGGGAGAAAACACAATTGAAAAAAATATTTTAAGAAAGATTACCCCCAAGTCTAAAGTCCAATTACATCTTCATTCTCTCATTAAAAAATACTTGTATATAAACATAAAGTGGTTTCTTTCTTTTATTCTGTTTTGTTCATTCTATATATCTGTATATTTAAATTGCAATCTTTTGAGTTCAATTGCAGATGCCCTATTTCAGCAACCTAACATTAAATTAGACTGTTTCGTGAACTAGCCTGAAATCCTCCATAACAATAGTTCTGTGGGGCAAATGGTAGATGCTAAAAATTTCAAATTGCAAACAAATGATAAACAAAAAACCTACACAACTTTCTTATAAATTAGGGAATGGGTGCACAATATTTAACATGTTGTAGTTATACAATGTCCTAAGGACAAAAACCAATGCAATTTTTATACGTAAGACTAGACAAAGGCAATTTTCCATTATCTCCATAGTATATAAAAGTGGTTTTAGTTTTATAGAAACTTTTACTTACTATGCTTTATATCTATCCTTCATTGCCATCCTTCTGTATGTATTCCATTATCCTTTTTTCTGTAACTCCCAAGAAAATAACATAGCAAAAACAAAAGCGCCACATCCTATAAACTATAACACTAATTACCAGCCTATGTAATACTGCAAAGGATGGCAAAATTAGAAGGGAGGTTGGTTCTTGTTCTATTAAGACTGATGCGCTATTACAGAAAACTGGTATCTCTATCCCACCAAAGGTAAGTGTGGCTTTACTATTGAGTCTAAAGTTATCATTCAAAACTAATATATAAATGTTTGCTGAGTAATTTACTGATTCACATTTTATGTACCACTGTTCCTCTTCATCCACACAAATAATTGAGAATAGGACAGAACAGAATTGTATTAGAAAAGAAGTTTTCTGTCTAAAAGTTCAAACTCAAATAGTGTTTTGGTTATGTGAACTATAATCTCACTATATCACTAAAAACATAAAGACTATTTCCTCTAAAACATCTGATTTTAGCACACAGTTCTTAAACATAAGAACATCATATTAAAATTTATCTATAATAACTTATCTCATAGAACTTCAAAAAGTACTCCTTTAAAAATATAGTATCTCAAGACTTTCAGTTTTTATAAGTAGAAAATGCACTGGGCTACTATTTTTCCTTTTTCACTTGATTGCTGAGAAGAAAAGGGGAAATAAATAGAGCAAGGCTAAACATAGGTTTAACTAAAAAACAAAATCCATGAAAGAAGGGTAAAGGAAAACTTGGATTTTGCATGTTCCTGGAACGAATAATCTGCCAGATTTTCTCAGAAATTACCATGGATTCTAAGAAGGAAGAGATTTCAGCTCTAAAACCACACAGGTGTATCCTCTGCAATAAAGGATGAAGGACAAGTAAGGTAGAATAATGCAAAGAAAAGGGGTAATTCCTAAAAGTTCATAGGCAAGAAAATTCTAAAACTGAGAGGTAGGAATAAACTCTACCACAAGTAATCTTTGTTAGACAGAAGCCTCTTCTCCATTAGAAACAGGTTTTAGGATGTCTGCAAATGATGAAAAAATAAAGGACATGATATTTAAGGCAATATTAAGTGTTTATAAAAATGAAGACATTTCTAAATTGTTAAACAATTATAATAAATATTTCAAAATAGGTGAAGGAACCAACAGTCTAACTACTGGAAATTTGTCAGCATTACAAAGTTACTATGGCCTCATCTTTAATTAAAATTGCTTTAAATACAGTTATCTAGAACAAAATTATTTTCTATTATTTTGATAATAATATTACTATAACTTTTTTGTATTGTGTATTATCCAGTTTTGTCCTTTTATTTCAGGTAAATGAACTGATAACAATAAATATCTGAAGTTATGAGTACTAAACTTCTGTATTAGAGGATAGGAAAACAATGTCTCTTGTTAATGATTAGTTCCAGAGAAATCATGGCACTTTCCCTAGTTTTGCTCAGGATGACCATGTGTTGCTAAGATCAGTGTAAAGCAATGTTAAGAGTCTATAAATGCAAGTTTTATGTGTTACTACTAAATTAAATTCTGGACTTGAGGCATTCTGAAAAACACATTCAATGCAATTCATTTTTCCTTGAAATGTAATTGTTATATGATGCCAGTGACACAACCAGAGGTGAGATCCTAATAGCTCTTGAGGGGATGGGCCTTGTATGATCAAATTAAAATAAAATTTAGCACCTAAATTCAGTAATGGAGGCAAGCAATAGCACAGGAATTGACCAACTTCACTTGGGCTACTTATGCAATAGAGAAGTCAATGCATCAACAATATAGCACCACACTATATAAAACCCTTTTAAGTAGCACTTAGTTTAAATTTTATAAGGAATTGTGAGACATAGTTTGAGTTTTCTAAAATGAAAACAAACATACAAGAAACACACTTTCAATAAGCCAATTAAATTAGTTATTGGCTGACTTTGCAAGATAGTAAGTACCTTATTAATAAAATAATTAAGCTCATATTCTCTTGAAAGTTAATGTTTTAAAGAAGGTTCCATGTTGAAAAAATGTAAGTTGTAAAGATCTGACAGCAATTATTTACCTATATTAAGACTGATATGAGTTAAAAACAATTATAGAAAACTATCCATCAACATAATGAGTTAGAAAATATATCAACAAATTACTATTGCCAGAATTCTTAATCAGAAAAACAAGCTCCAAAACCTCTGGAAGTCTTGGCAATATTTCTGTCCAATGTAGCCATTTATCTTCCCAGAAGTAAAATTTAAGGGTCTCAACTAAAATAAAACACTGTCTTCAGGAACTGGGTTATTTCCACCAAGTAATTCATTAATTGGTAGTTGTATGCACGCTATCTTATCTATTTAAAAAAAGCTAAACACTGTTCAATAGGTGATATGTTTCTATGGAATCAAGACTCATATTCTTACAGATTTGCCCATAGGTATTAGTTCTTCTTGAGATCTAGATCCCATATTAAGGGAAGACATTTTAAAGAGTTCTAGAAGCTCGGATTACTTTTCCATTGAATTACATTTAGAAGTCTGCTTGTATAAAGTCGTTAAGGTGAATAAAACCAGATTATGGTATATACCATTATCAAACAGTTGAAGTATATATCTTTATCAAACATTATTAGTATCTAATGTCATTTGATTACACAGAGGCTTTTATTAAATAATTCTATTTCATAAAAATGCACCTGTTTCAATCTCATCTTGCTTACAGGCCATATACTATAAGACACATCTCTCTAATGGCAAGTGTCACATGCTTGCACAGCAGATTTTATGAGTCCTAATCTAAACAGGCTACATCAGAGTCTACCATAGGATAAATCAGATTTGAAAATATCTTACCCCAGATATAAGAAATACTTTACAGAAGTCCAAAACTGGCAGAATCTGTAGAAAACTGGCAGCTTCCAGCGTGTCTTGAAGGTTGTCCATATTAAGAGAAAGCTTTGCAGTATAAATGAAGTCAATAATTTTCCTTAGACCGACTTTGCTCACACCATGAAGTTTAATGCACATTAAATCTTGTTCTTTCATTCCACCTTAAATAAAAGGACATTCAATTAAATGAAGGTGGATAATTATGGTCAAACTCACTTCTGCTGCTAATTAGATGCAATAAAATCAGTCTTATTTTATATAAGCAGTCATATTAGAGTCAGTCTGCTGCACATTTTATGGTTTAAAAAAAGTACTTAAAAAGGATAATCTCTATACTAATGGAGGTTATATATGATGCAAGTGCTTTCAAAATATTCTCACTTCCTATCTTTTGATTTGGAGTAAAGATTGTATTAGCAAGACACAGAGTCTCTGATGGCCCACTCAGATATGAGCTTGAGAAAGAAAAGCTGTGAGATAAAGATGGACAGTATGAAAAAAGTACATCAATTTTCCATGTTAAAAGAGCACCACCGAAAACCATACATACTGTTGTATACTCCTTTTGAAGCTGTTTCCAAAAGAACTAAATTTCATGTTAGAAATAGATTTAAACACAGATTTTTCATATTGTTTTAATGTGGTTTCAGAGTTTTAAAAGGCAAACTACCTGTGAACATAGCCTTGAAGTAATCACTAGCAGATGCCATCATAACTCTATGCACAGGGAAAGCATCATCTGTGTCACCTGGCATCAGGGTCACATCACAAAGCAATCCTTCAAGTCGAAGCTGGTCAAAGCCCTACAACAAGAACATGAGTTGAGTCACGAATCAAGGTAAAACGAGGTTACAAATTTTTGTGTGCTAAAATTCTGTTTGAATATTAATGTAAGGCAACATATTTGGAACATAAAGCCAACAGAATAATTACTCAGGAGAAGAAAAATTAACTGCACAACTTTCCTGATATATGACAATGTATACTTTCTTTCACTGTAGGAATAAGACGAAATTAAAACTAATTTAGGATAAAAATGATTAAGTGTATATACATTTGCTTATTTACACAATCATCAGTTTTTACCTTATTTTGAAAAATAATTACAATATGCACTTCTATTTTCCCATCTGCAGAATGAGTGTTAGACTGTTTTTCCTTTTCACAATAATTTAATAGTCCCATTATAATGCTTAACTGAAGCATCTTGGTTTTGTTTTGTTTTAGGGGAGGTTAAGAAAGAAAAGTAGAGAGCAACTGTATTAAGTACACAATAGGAATTCTTTCTACTAATTGTATTGTTTCATCTCTTTGAGAAGCCTATACTCAGTACATTGCTGCTGCCTGACCAATTATCTTTCAAGTTTCAAGTTTGAGATTTAATTATCTTTGTTTGGTGGGGAAAAAAAAAGAAAAGCCCAGGTTTCCTGGGCTTTTCTTTTTTTTTCCCCACCAAACAAAGATAAATTTTTTTGGTGAGACTTAATTGTCTTTTTTGTGAGACTTAATTGTCTCCAAATACCTAAAGGTTTAGTGGAGAATTAATAGGCTAGCAGCCACAATTCAGAGGAGAGACAGAACTCGCTGAGAAGAATCCCTGTTGATTAGCTTTTCCAATACACCCTGATGGTCTCGATGAATGACAAAAAGACAGTTGTTCTATTGATATAAGTCAGAAGAATGTAAGTCACTTTTAAGATTATAACAGGTTGAATCTATAGCATACACATATTTCAAAACATCATGTTTTTCATTTCTTATCTTTCATTTTTAATTTTTGTGGGTACACAGTAGATGTATGCTTTAGGGATGGATACCCCATTTACCATGATGTGATTAAAATATCATGTTTTATGTGGTAAATTATATATAACTTTTATTTGTCAATTAAGAATAATGAATAAAAAAGATATGACAGGCACCAAAAGGAGACAATATACAATTTAATAATGATGCAAAAAATGAAAATTTTGGCAAGATTGAGTCTGTAGTTTCAAATATATAAATTTTTCATTATAAAAAATCAGGAAGACAGGTACACAAATGCTTTCTAATAAAGTAATACAATAAGAACCAATAGTATGGGTTACTCTGTCCCCTTCATATTTTAATAATTTCAAATAAACGATTATGTTTCACAGATTTAAAGAGCAAAAGGCATAACATACTAAGAATGCAGTTTTTAAAATATTGATCCTACATATATGTGTAATATAAACCCCAGTTAAGCTTCTCATTTTAATTTTAAAATTGCTTTTTAAAGAAAATGCTTGAATTACAGAACTGGAACTTCAAAGAGATTATCTGATCTAGCCATTTTCCCTCTAGGGAAAGAGATGAATATTTTTATTCCAAAATATTTATACATTATACATATACTTTGAAAAAAGATTATATTTCATATTTTTTCTTTTTCCAACAATGATTGACATGTTTATGTTAACAAATATCAAATCTTTCACAAATGCCCCTTATTCTTTGTAAACCCAAACATATCCCCTATGACACTATTTTTATTTTCCATTGCTAATTCATCTGCTGTCTCTGTTATTTAGAAAAGCAGAAGTAATATAATAATAGCTCATCTTGTAAAAAGAGCAAACTAACACAGAAACAGAAAACCAAACACCACGTTCTCACTCATAAGTGGGAGTTGAACAATGAGAACACATGGACACAGGGAGGGGAACATCACACACCAGGGCCTGTTGGGGATGCAGGCTAGGGGAGGGAGAGCATTAAGAAAAATACCTAATGTAGATGACAGGTTGATGGGTGCAGCAAACCACCATGGCACATGTATACCTGTATAACAAACCTGCATGTTCTGTACATGTACCCCAGACCTTAAAGTATAATTTTGAAAAAAAGAGAGAGAGATGTCAAGATACTAATGAAATGAGCCCAGGTTCTGTATTCCCCCTTTATTTTTATTCATCAAATAGATTTTATTCCTCTTCTCTAAAGCACACATAGATAACATATTTAAAAAAAACAATTATGGCTTATTTAGTCAAAAGCAATGGTTATATCTGATCCATTATTTTCTTTCACTAAAAAAACAAAAACAAATAAACAAAAAAGCCTTCTTGGCTTATTTGCTATCCTCCTGACTTTAAAATATTCCTGCAAATATTTTACAATTGGAATTGAATAATGTCAGTAGGTTCCATTCGTACTATGTATGACTTCTTTTTCCCTTTGAAAAAAAAGAGGAGTAGCTAAGTATCGTTAGCTGTGTAATTTGTTGTTTTGTCCATATTCCATCCAAACTGCTTGCGGAGGTATGTACTCAATGCTCAGGATCTGCACAGCTCTGCTCAGCTAAGACATCAGGAGCTTTTATCCTTTTCACAGATTTTATCATTTACGTCCCTTTATACTATCATTTTTTAAAATCATTTAACCTTTCTCAGTATAATCTGGTGTCCCAAAAGAAAAGAAGTTGAGGTACCCAGAGTATTTTTAACAAATCTGGAGTATCCTCTATTCCAAGCTTAATTTACACCTTTGGCAAATTTTCTGCTTTTGTAAAGTTTTACACTTATTTTCACAACATATAGTGTCCCTTTTAAAACATTTCATAACCTTTATTTTTATATGCATAAATGAACAACCCCCCTATCCAATTTCATATTAGTGAATTTTATTCTACATTATGTCTATCTTTATCCAAATGAGATCTATCAATTCAGGCTGTTTTTAAACAAATTCTAAACATCTTGTTTGTATATCATTTTCTAGATATCCCAGTTCTGTCTAAAAAGAAGCCCCTTCTGACTATCCACATTGTTGTATACAAGAAGGCCATCATTTCTCTAAAGAACTTTTATTATCTCATCTTCTAGTGGAGTATGCATACATTAAAAGAAAAAGGGAGAGGTTCATTATCCTCCACAATTATCATCTGCCTTCTATATATCTACTTTTTGCTTTCATTCATAAATATTTTCCCCTATTTAAGAAGACTTTCAAAGATACCTGTACACTCAAAATAAGTCCTTTTACTACAAAATCATTTTCCTTCACCAAATTTGTACTCATTCAACAGATTTATATAAACATTTTTGTCTGTTTCCATATACCTATGCAGCTCTGCTTTAGGCAAATTGTTCAGTTTCCAATTAGTTTTTCAGAGTGTCCCTAAAACTGCTTCTATTGATTTAAACTCATCATCTTTCTGGTCTTTCTATCTCAACACTTATCTCAGTTCTCTATTTTTCTGTCTCTGTGTTTGATTTAAAAGGGGCTTTTCTGTCCTCAATTTCTTTAATATTTCCCTTTAATATTTATAGAAGACTATAAATCTCCCCATACGTTCCTTTATTTTCTTCTCCATATCCTGGAAAATAATAGCATCATTTAATGCTATTTAATACTGGAAGAATAGCATTAAAAACATGTTTTTTCTCTTCTCTGTATTAAACTTACCCAACGTATCAAAACTTCAACCTTTATTAAATAGAAAGTGGTACATAACTAATACCAGGAAACAAAGAAATACTGAAATATAATAATGAGTTTGATAAATTTTTAAATGATCATATTAAAACAGAAGAAAATATGACTTGACATTACAGGATTGTAATATGGAAATCAGACAAGCTATGAACAATCTGTATAAAAATTGGATGTCAATAGCTTTCAAGTGAAGTATAATGCTATTGTGAAAAAATCTACATTGATACTGTCAGGTATTTAAAAGGAATCTGACAAACAAATCAGTCAACTAAATTCTACATTAGAACAAACTTACTAGCATTTTATATCTAGTTTTGATCATTGTCATTTTGAAAAGGAAGTAGAGAAAAAAGACACATCTTGAAAAGAATAATGAAAATTACAATGGAAAATATGTTATATGAACAAAGATTAAGGAACTAAAGAAAGTTAAGAAATAGCTTTACTCCAAAGTTATGTAAATGTAATGTATTAGATAAAAACAATACCAGCCATGTTTTTATGAGGCCGCTCTTCATTTTATTCAAATGACAGAAAAAGGAACAGATGCGTTTAAGTTAAAAGAAATATATAGGCTGGACATAAATGTTTATATTAATTGTAAACTCATTATGTAACACTGCTTAGACTTTAAAAACGTCTTAAAGGCTTTCTACCACTGCATTATAGCACAACTTCTGGCTTTCAGAGACTTTTTTGATCTGATCCCAACCTTATTTTCTATTAGTTTCCTATATACTCTGACCCATCTCGTCAGGTCATTCTCCAAACTATCTCATTGGTTAAAAACCCAGGCTTACTCCTTTTCCAGTACTTTTACTGATGACATTTTTTTTTTTCACGTGGAATATCCTCCCTCCTTCAAAGACTAGTTTAAATTTGACCTCCTTATTGTTGCTGTTTCATAGAAAAGGGGATTTCATCATGTTACTCAGGCTGGTCTCAAGGATGCCCCCTAACTGCCACCTGTCTTGGTCTCCCAAAATGCTGGGATTACAGGTGTGAGCGACCACACCTGTCCAAATTTGACCTCCTTTGTAAAGCTATCTCTCACACAACCATCTCTAAAATAATTAGGCATTTTTAGTCTGGATTTCATCATTTCTTATTCAATTATATCCTATACATTTATGTTTCCAGTAAGAGAGATTAGATTTATATCACCTCCTGAAACTCTTTAAAATCAGACAAAATATATGGAAAAAAAAAAAACCCTTAAAAACATTGAAGGAAAAGGATCTGTGAAAGATGAGAAACAAATTAGGTGAGTCCTGTGGCTATCTAAACTTACTGCCTACGGATTCCAGATAGAGGTACAGTGAGTGGGAACCAAGGCAAAACC